AATCTAGAATCATGTATTAACTTTAGATATGCATGTTGATGAAATTCGCATATAATTAATTATACGCGCATCATATCAGAAAATTGATAATGTCGCATTAGTCTATAAAATTCACTACGCAAAGATGAAAATGTAGGTGATTATGGAATAATTTGAAATATTGTATAATAAGCATCCCCGAAAATGATAATTTAGGTGCTTATTTTCAAAACTATATGGTACTTCGCCAGATGATCCAATCAATAGGAAATAATACATTTGTTTAATTTCCTTTTATATATAAACAACGTATTTATATGATGTAAATCAGAAAAAAATCAAAAAGAAAGAATATGTCCTTTTTCCTTCTTTTAATATCCATCTATCATGGGAATCCCATCAAAAAAGTTGTGTGAAACAACGCAAACTCGAAAAAAAAATAGAAAAGTTTGATTTAGTAAGTAAATAAAAATAGATATACTGTATATTATTTAAAATTTATGTAAAAGTTATTCACATAGAAAAAGTAAAATATGGCTCATTTTATTGATGATAATTATCATTCTAATTCTATATAGCTTCGTTGATAAAAAAAAAGGACAAGGAGATTGAAGATCTACAGACTCAATTTATTGATTTTGAAAAAAAGGTAGAAAATGTGGAAGGAAAAGTTTTTCAAAAAGTAAAAAAGTGCTCCCGTGAAAATGATAATTTAGTAAACTGGCTAAATTATATAATGACCAAATAAAAGGTTATCAGAAAGAAATTTATGATTTGAATTTGAAATTATATTTTTCACAACTACAACAATCCGCAACTCTTCCTTCATTACCAAAAAATTCCGCATCTTCCCAATCCCCAAAATCCGTGATTCTCCCACTACAACAAAATTCTGCATCACTCCCTTCATCACAAAAATCTGCGTCTTCAAAGTATGAAAGTTTAGCTGATTACTTTAAAAATCAGAAATGATTTTTTTACCTGGATGATACAACCTTGCACTGGATCGAGTTTTTTTTTACTTGAGATGGCTTAAGTTAGGTTTTTTAGCATTTTTTTTTTTGATTTATGTATAATTATGTAATTTTTTAATTTTGATTTTTTTTGATTTATGTATAATTATGTGTATAATTATGTATTTTTTTTTTGATTTACATATAATTATGTAATTTTTTTTTTGATTTTCTGTTTAATTTTATATATAAAAAAAATTTAAGATTAGATGCAATTTTTTGCAGGTTAATTGTATCGTCACGAAGGGTATCAATTGCGAGTTGTGTAATATCATAAAGTAGTTCATGCAATGATCTGTTATCCATCCTTAATTATAATAACCTTTTCGAAATTATTCTTGCCTCTTGGGCTTGAAATATGATACTCTTGGTTTGATTACATTGAATATTTCTAAGTGACTTGTAAAAGTCATCAATACGAGAGAAAAAATCTGTTGGATCATTATTGGATCGCAATATCTTTTTTAATAAAAAATCTTTTAATGCTATAAATTTCTGAATCATTACTAAATCTTTATTTGCTATCTTATTAGCGACCTTAAATATCTTAAAAATAGACAAGTAGCGATCAGCCATTTGTAAAGTAATCACATTCTCTTGATTAACAAGGTTCTACCAAAGCTTTTGGCCAATTTCTTGAGTAATCGTGCAATTTCATTAGTATCATTTACAATTTTAGATTTGATTAACAAATTAATATCAGGTATGAGTTCTTTCATACTTTCTCGGGTGACGAGAATTAATGTTGTGGTTTTTTTTTGGAAATCACAAATTGAATTTTTTTTTTCTAAAAAAAAAAAATAATTTTATGTCAGTATTAAAGTTTTGTGTCAGCTAGTACTAACTTCCCAATAAAGTAACCTTCTTTGAAACATAGAAGGTTGTGTTAATTTGGAGCTACCATGGTAAGATGTGTTGTGTTTGGCTTTTGGTGGCCAATAACTCTTGATGGTGACGATAACAATTGATGATCAGCATAAATTTTTTGACAGCCAGCGAAAGTGGTCACCATAAAACTTGTTAAAAGCTGATAACTCTAGTTCGCATGTGGATTAGATTAAAAGGAATTACTTTTCAAAAGGTTTCCTTTAGTTGTTTTTTTAGATTAATACTTTTTTCTTTTCGAAATTGTTGATGAATGGCTGACAATGTACTTAAAATTTTTGAATTTTTTTAAATCCTTTATATATGTATATTTATTTTATGAAGTTTTAAAAGGCCTTTTTTTTTCTAAATAAAGTTTATAAGATACATAAAATACTGGAAGAACCAGTAATACTGAAAAA